TTTTTTTTGTGGTGCTGAGGATTGAACCCAGGGCCTTCTGCATGTGAGGCAAGCACTCTACCAACTGAGCTATATCCCCAGCCCTATAGACAAACATTTTAATGCTATTTGTAGAAAACAAGAGGCCTTCTAGGAAGTGTGGAATGAACATAAGTCTCCTGGAGTTTCTGGGACATATAATTGTTTATAGATGCAGCCACTGACAAAATATTGAGAACAGAACTATCCCAGAAAGCCTGGGGCAAGGGATTGTAGAAATGGGCAGCCTTCTACCTAAAATGAGCCTTCCCAGTGCACTGCCACATGTTCAGCAACACCTTTTTAAATATCTCCAGTGAACTAGTTTTAAAATGAACATATTTTATTTCTTTACAAACCCTTGTGTTGAGGGCTGACTTTCAATAGATCCCAGCAAGGAACCAGCTCTGCTCTGAACAAAACCCCCGACCCAGGAGCAGGGTTAGGGCCAGGTTCCCCACAGAGGTGCATTTGGTGGTGGGTGAGAGGACAGCCCTTTTCTGGCCACACCCCGTTTCCCAGGACCAAGGGCTCTGGGTACTGGTGGACGTGAGGCAGCCCACCCACTGGGGAGCTACTTTTAATATTGAGGCAAACACCTGCTTCCTAGCAACTTATTTCTCCATCTCAAATTTTTTTTTAATATTTATTTTTTTTAGTTTTCGGCGGACACAACATCTTTATTTGTATGTGGTGCTCAGGATCAACCAAGCGCCGCGTGCATGCCAGGCAAGTACGCTACTGCTTGAGCCACATCCCCAGCCCCCGTGTCCATCTCAATTTTGCTGTTTACTCCCATATAGAATAAATAGTGTCTCTTCCACAAACATTGTAAATATTTAAAGGGACATTGGTCCTTGAAAATCTTCATTATTCTAAACCAAACACCCCTAGTTTCTTCTATTGTTTCTTGGTTTCCAGGCCTGTGATCCAGGATGCCCTTTAACCGAATTCTAGCAGATCATGCATCTCTCTGTCATGGCACAGTGTAGCCACTAAGGGACCTAAAGGCTCCCTTAATCCACCCTAGCTGAGAAGGCAGCAAATGCCTAGCCAAGGGTACAGAATTGGACATTCTCTGGCCTCTTCCACTCTCCTTCTTATCTATGCCTTGCAAGCATACACCTCTGGTCTTGTCAAAATATAACAGAAGCTGCCCCCTGAGTGGAGAAGGCACCTGAACTTATTAGCAGGACCAAGTTGAGGCCTAGCAAAAGAGATACTTTGTGGTTGGCCTCGAGAAAATACTATAGGCTATTTACCCAGGCCTTCTCACGGAGGGGTGGGGGGCGGGTCAAAGGAGGCCAGCATGGCTTTTTGCCTGCCTTTGGTCTGGACTTACATTTAAGGAGAAAAGAAAACTTGAAGCTCTTCCAGCAAGGAGGGCTGGCAACATTTAACCACCTCCATTTCCTTCCAACAAACTAATAGCAACATCCAACAAAGAGTAAGCATAGTACAATGAGATTATTATAGCTCTTGGCCTGAGTGCCGTGCTTCTACTAAACCAAGCAAAACATTGCATTTTCCTTTTGAGCCAGTGTTTCTATTGGCTCCTGGTGAAACTACGGATTACAAGAAAAAAAATATTTCCTAAATTAAACGATACCTAGATCCTGCAAGGTTTAGGATCAAGAGATGTCAAAAAAGGAAGGTCTGATGATTCAAAGAGCCCTGACTTAATCCCTAGCCTTTAGGTTCTCTCACTTCAGTTAGCAAATCCACACCACACCAATACCCAGTGTTTTTAGTCAACTCTTCTGCTCTATGACTAAAAGACCCAACCAGAGCAACTGTAGAGGAGAAACATTTGAGGGCTCACAGTTTCAGAGGTCTTAGTCCATAAAGACCAGCTCCATTCCTTGGGACTCAAGATGAGGCTGAACATCATGGAGGAAGAGTGTGGTGGAGGGAAGCAGCTCACATGGTGATAAGGAATTAGAAAGAGAGAGACTACAGAATGGGGAAAAAAAATCTTTACCACCCATACCTCAGATAGAGCACTAATCTCCAAGATATATAAAGAACTCAAAAAATTTAACACCAGCCAAGTGTGATGGCACACGCTTGTAATCCCAGTGGCTGGGGAGGCTGAGGCAGGAAGATCGCGAGTGCAAAGCCACCCTCAGTAAAAGTGAGGCACTAAACAAATATCAGTGAGACTCTGTCTCTAAATAAAATACAAAATAAGGCTGGGGATATGGCTCAGTGGGCAAGCACCCCTGAGTTCAATCCCTAGGGTTCACCCCCAACCCCACCCCCACAAAAAAAAGCATCAAAAAAAAAAACACCCCACAAATAACCCAATCAATATATGGGCTAAGGAACTGAACAGACACTTCACAAAAGAAGAAATACAATCACTCAACAAACATATGAAAAGATGTTCATCATCTCTAGCACTTAGAGAAATGAAAATCAAAACTACTCCAGTCAGAATGGCAATTATCAAGAATACAAGCAATATTAAGTGTTGGTGAGGATGTGGGGGAAGAGGTACACTCATTCAGTGCTGGTGGGAATGCAAACTGGTGCAACTACTATGCAAAGCAGTATGGGGATACCTCAGAAAACTTGGAATGGAACCACCTTTGACCCAGCTATCTTACTCCTCAGTTTATACCCAAAGGTCTTAAAATCAGCATACTACAATGATGCAGCCACATCAATGTTTATAACAGTTCAATTCACAATAACTAAACTATGAAACCAACCTAGATGCCCTTCAAATGTGGTACCTTTACACAATAGAATATTATTCAGCCTTAAAGAAGAATGAAATTATGGGATTTGCAGGTAAATGGATGAAACTCAAGAATATCATGCTAAGTGAAATAAGCAGATCCCTAAAAACCAAAAAACAAATGTTTTCTCTGATAAGCAGATGCTGACCCATAGTGGGAGAGGGGAGGGAAGAATGAAGGAATTTTGGATTGTGCAGAGGGGAATAAGGGGAGGGGTTGGGCTGTGGGGATGGGAAGGGCGGTAGAATGAGACAGACATTATTACCCTATATACATAAATGATTACACTACTGGAGTGACTCTGCACCATATACAGCCAGAGGAATGAGAAATTGTGCTTCATTTGCACACAATGTGTCAAATGTATTCTACTGTCGTGTATAACTAATTAGAACAAATTTAAGTAAATAACTAATAAGAACAAATTTAAATATTTATTTAAAAATAAATTTAAATAAATAAATAAATATATATATATATTTCCTATAGCCCTGGCCCCAACGAACCACTTCCTTCAGCCATACCCCACTTTCTTCCAGCTTCCACTCAGTTAATCCCATCAGGGATGAATTCATGATTAGATTAAGGCTATAATCCAACTGTTTTTCCTTGCATTGTCTCACATGTGAGCATCTGGGAGACACCACATCTAAACCACAGTACACTATGATAACTATGCTGCTAAAGTTGTACTCATAGTCCATTCAGGTTGCCATAAAAAATCATAGAGAGCATGGCTTATAAACAGCATAAATTTATAATTTTCTCACATTTCTAGAGGATGAGAAGTCCAAGATCAAGTACTGGGAATTTTCCTCATAGGCAGACATCTTTTCATGTAGCCTCACCTGCTGGAAGGAGACAAGCTAGCTCTCTGGAGTCTTTTTATAAGGGCATTGATCCCATTCATGGGGGCTCTATCCTCATGACCAATCACTTCTCAAAGGACCCCTCTCTGTCTGATACCATACCACCATGGACTTGCCAGATCTTATCAACCCCGCCCCTGCTCCCGCCCTTGTAATGCTATCACCTTAAGGTTAGAATTTCAACATAGAATTGGGGGAGGGGACACAAACAGACCATGGGATAGTCTGGGTGTAAACATTACTCCTTCTTGCACTCATTGGGTTTCTCTAGGCTCTGCCAAGCCTCAGTGGCTTTCCCAGCATGAAGCTTGGCTCCAAAATAACTAATTTGCCCCCAGAGTTCACAGATCCTAACCCAATTCACTGACTACCTGAGAGAGCTACTCCCTTGCCCAAAATATGTGGCATGAGTTTTTAGTACACTCCTTGGCTTCCTCATTTCTACCTGGAGCGAAATATCTTCCATCCCAACCCCCAGCAATTCCCTCATTGGCAGTCTTGGCATCCTCAACTTCCAGTCCTATGAGACCACTCATTCTTTGACTGTCCAAGTTTTCTTGCTCAGATCAAAGATGTGAATTTGAGAAACGTTCTTCCTCCTTGGTGGAGTAACAAAACAAATGGCTTTACCCCTCAGATAGAACCTGGCTTCCTTGTGGAGAGATGTGCCCTTAAACACAATAACACAATTTTTACAAAGTAAACCAGTTGGCCAGTGCAGTCCTTGGTCCTGGAATCCTCCTTGGACTTGGATCCTTATTGCAGTATCATAAGACTGGTCTT